CAGCGTCGGGCAAACCACTCTCACAGCTCCTGTGGAGAGAGTGGCTCCCGCCGAGACGAAGCACCCAGAGAACCTCCAGGCTCAGCACCGCCAGACGCCACACGAGCAGGCCCAGCTCCCTCAGGCTCCGCACCCCCAGGCTCAGCACCTCCAGGCGTAGCACCCCCAGGCTCAGCACCCCCAGGCGTAGCACCCCCAGGCTCAGCACCCCCAGTAGTAGCACCCCCAGGCTCAGCACCCCCAGGCTCAGCACCCCCAGTAGTAGCACCCTCAGGCTCAGCACCCCCAGGCGTAGCACCCACACGCTCAGCACCCCCAGAGTCAGCACCCCCAGGCTCAGCACCCTCAGCAGCACCAGAGTCACCAGTAACCTCGACAGGCTCGACTGCGTCTACCTGGGACACACCTGAAGGGGCAGGACCCTGAGGGGGGAGGGGGTCTACCGGGGGGGGACCTGGCACAAGGAAGAGCGGTGGCGGGGGGAGGGACGGAGTGCGGTAGGGGAAGAGGCGGTAGTAGGGGACCGACTCGTCAAACGTGACGTCCTGGGAGGACAGAACACGGCGAGAGGTGGGGTGGTAGAACTGCCACCCTGGCGCGTCAGGGGGGAAGCCAAGGAAGACGCAAGGAGCAGCACGAGGGGACAGCTTGTCCGCAGACAAGTCGCGGACAAACGCCCGAGATCCCCAGACACGGAACGCAGACGCATCGCCAACCTTCCCCGTCCACAGCAAAGCTGGGGAGGTCTCCGGCATGGAGACCCTGGGGTGAAGGTTGATCTGATGCGCCGCGTACCGAACCGCAAACGGCCACAGAAAATGGGGGGCAGCCGCATGCATCATGGACGTACGGGCGACGTCCATGACCATGCCAATGCGGCGCTCAGCAATCCCATTTTGCTGTGGAGAGTCCGGAAGCGTGAAGGTCTGGCGGATGCCTCGTGCACGACAGTAGGCTCGCAGAAGGCCAGAGGAGAACCCTCCACCTCTGTCAGAGTGCAGACGCAGAACAGGAAAGTCCGAGCCGAAGCTCTGCCTGAGCTGGAGACGAGCTGCGCGGATCCAGTCGATCAACACCTCAGTGACATCACCCTTGCTGCGCAAGGGGAAGACCGTGGTGTAACGCGAGTAGTCGTCAACCACCAGCAGGAAGTAGCGCTCGTGACCCTGTCCACGGACGCGGGCCGGGCCCCACACGTCCATGTGAAGCGTCTGCAGCGGGGCCTCTGTCGGAGGAAACTGGGAGGAGTGAGGGGCAGCCCGCTGCCGCCCCTCGACACAAGGGACGCAGGTAGGGCCGGGCCCCGGAGGAAGGGGAGGGAGGGACCGGGGAAGACCAGAGACAAGGACACGGGAGGCCATGCCTCGGAGACGAAGCAGGGAGGGGTGACCAAGGCGGTGGTGCCAGAGGAGAGTCTCGTGCGACAGGAGGCGACACGAACAGGGGGCAGACTCAGGACCAGACCTGGACGCTGCAGCAAACACCTGACCCGACGCAGCTACCTGACCAGACGCAGTGACTGGAGGAGACGCAGTGGTCAGTGTGTACAGGCTCGACCCCGGCCGACGTGTAAACGTGGCCAGGTGTCGGCCTGTCCGAGCGTCCGTGCAGTGGGTCACCCGCTGACTCGCAGGAGTGAACTGGTGAACCCCCGCATCCTGTAGGTCAGCACCACTCACCAAGTTCGTAGAGAACGAGGGGAGGTAAAGACCAGACAGGGTGCCAGAGGGGGCCGCCGGACACGGGAGGACAGTGGAGAAGTGAGCAAGGACAGGACCCCCAGAGGGGTCTGCCAGAGAGACTGCAACTGGCCGGCCAAGCGGCGTGAGTGTGGTGCGGTCTCGAAAGAAGGAGCGAGAAGCCCCCGAGTCAAGGGTGAAGGTGTGGGAGGCCGAAGCCAACGCAGTACCTGAGAGAGCAGACTCACCAGCACCTGAGTGAGCAGACGCACGAGCACCTAGAGCAGCAGCCTCGCTAGCACCTAGAGCAGCAGCCTCACCAGTACCTAGAGCAGCAGTCTCAATGCCTGGGTCGGGCGGAAAACACCGGTAACAGTCACCCTCATCACTAATAGTCACAGCATACATGGCAGCAAGAATAGCATCAAAGTCAAGGTCAAAGACAGCTACACCCGCCCTAGACAGCTCGCCCCAGCGGGGGATCTCAGTGGCCTCAGGGAACTGGTGACACCAAGCGTCCGTCAGGCGGCCAAAGCAGCGCTGGGTGGAGTGCGCACCCCCGCACTGCTCACCCGCGCGGTCGCCGGTGCGTAGGACGTAGGTGCACGGACCAGTACCCCCACCCCGCTGGCGTGCAGCGTACCACTCACGGAGCTGCTGAGGGGGGGGGATGTCACGAGTGCGCTGCTGCCGCTGCTGCTGCTGCTGCTGGCGCTGACCACCACCGGAGCCGACCCTCTGCCCAGCGCCACCCCGACCAGCTCCACCTCCTCCGCCGCCGCCTCCTCCACCGCCGCCACCTCCGCCACCTCCGCTCCCACCGCCACCGCCGCCGCCGCCTCCGCCTCCACTGCCGCCACCGACACCTCCACCCCCGCCACCACTCCCACCACCACCCCCACCCCCTCCACTGCCGCCACCGCCACCTCCGCCACCCCCGCCAGCCCCTCCAGCACCCTTGCCCCCCTTGCCCTTGCCGGTGCGGCGTCTCCCGCTCGGGGCAGACGCAGCGCCGACCGACTCGAGACCAACGAGGTCGGCCGCAGCAGCAGAGGCAACAGAGGGCAAAAGGGGGGAGGGGGAACACCCCTCAAAGACGGGGGTGCGAGGGTCACCACGAGAGGCTCCTACAGCGACTATGCTCTTCTCTGCTGCTAGGAGGGCCTTCTCGAGGAGGTCAACGGTGAGAGTGGTGGGGCAAACTGAGAGGAAGTGGTCCCTGACTACACGAAGGGAGTCAGGGAGCCGGGTGACTATGTAGTAGAGGGTGATGTACATGGGGGGGGGGTTCTTGGCGCAGAACTCAGCAGGAAGCGCAGCGCGGTAGCGAGTGTCACTAGTGCGGAGGTGCGTAATGAGGTCAGCGACTGTGGGAAAGGCAGCAAGGTCAGGGAAGAGGTACAGTAGCATGAGGCGGCTCAGTGCAGCAGTGGCAGGGGAGGAGTAGCGCGCAACTACAGCGTCGTACAAGGTGTGAGCACTCTTGTACTGGCTAAAGTGCGCACGCTCAGAGGTAGGCAGGTGGCGACGCACAGCTAGACGTGCAGCAGCATCGCGTGTGGCCCACTGTGAGCGAACAGTGGCGTCGGCATCAGCAGCAGGGGCAGGAGAGGCGCCAGAGGTGAGGTCAAAGAGGGAGAGACCGTCTGCCCTATCGCACTGTAAGAAAAGCTGCAGGTCATCTACCCAGACGTCAAAGTCAATGGCCCGACCCTCAGCGTCAAAGGCGAGGACACTAGGGGTAGCCATGACAGCAGTAGACTAGCAGTGTGAACAGTAGGGTAAGGGCAGTGCAGTGATAGAGGCGCTGCTCTTACCGGACAGGGCGGCTCGGGCGGCTCGGCGGCTCGGCAGGACGGCGGCTCGGGCGGCTCGGCGGCTCGGGCGGCTCGGGCGGCTCGGGCGGCTCGGCAACTCGGCGGCCCGGGCGGTTCGGCGGTCGGCTGCTGGGCGGCTCGGCGGCTCGGCGGCTCGGCTGCTCGGCTGCAGGACGGCTCGGCGGCTCGGGTGCTCGGCTGCTGGGCGGCTCGGCGGCTGGTGTGGTTGGTGACGACCGCGGCAGCAGTCGCAGAAGCTGTGGCGACTGCTGCTGCAGAGACAGCTGCGGCTGCTGCCTCAGGGACGGCGGCTGCCGGCCGCTAGGGGCCGCGAAGAGCGGCGGAGAGGCCGTGAAGGGCGCCACGAGGGGCCGTCGAGGGCGGCGACAGGCCGTGAGAAGGCCGCGGAAGGCGGCTCGAGGGGCCGCGAGGGGGGGCCGTAAGGGGCCGACTGGCGACGGGAGGGGCCGAAGGGGCCGCGGGAGGGCCCGTAAGGGTAGCGCAAGGGGCCGTAAGGGCGGCACAAGGGGCCGTAAGGGCGGCACGAGGGGCCGTGAGGGCGGCGCGATGGGCGCGACGGGCCGTAAGGGCGGCGCGACGGGCCGTAAGGGCGGCACGAGGGGCCGTGAGGGCGGCGCGACGGGCGCGACGGGCCGTAAGGGCGGCGCGACGGGCCGTAAGGGCGGCGCGACGAGCCGTAAGGGCGGCGCTAGGGAGCCGTGAGAGGGCCGCTAAGGGCGACGCGACGGGGCCGTGAGGGGCCTAGCGAGGGCGCGACGGTAGGGAGAGCACACAGGGCGCGACTCGGGCCGGAGCGAAGCGCGCTCCGGGCAGGAAAAAAAATTTTCGTGGTGGTGGGCCCTAGGAATCGTTCCCACTAGGGAACCTGCTCTATACCATGAGAAGAAACGAGGAATGAGAATGAGTAAGGGAAAGTTGGGTACAAAATGTAAACCCTAGAAAACTGTACCCCATATGTGCTACCCCACTATAGCCTACAGTAGCTATGTCATATAAATCTGACAATCCCGTTCATATTATTCGCTACGATAGTACCGACGCCGACGATGACTCATCGTAGTGCGATGGCGCGGCGGCTGTGTTTTGAGAAGTCTCAAAAGTCCACATCCCGTTCCTATAATTCACTACCATAGTACCGACGCGTCGCCGACGATGACTCATCGTAGTGCGATGGCGCGGCGGCTGTCATGCTCGACTCGCGCTCATAACTCGCATCATAAATCACGAGTGCAGCTCCGTAAGATCTTAAAGCAAGCGCGCCGTTCTTCCATCCCTGTCATCCCTGTCATTCAAAAGCAAGCGCCTCCTTTCGCTTCTGTGCTTGTACTACTACTGGACCATCCATGCGTCTCTAGTACTCGACCAACCTTCCACTGTCCTTCATCTCCCAGCTTCAAGAACGAGCGTGTGATACGGAAGGGCAACTTATTTGGCTCCTCTTCCGCCGTCTCTTCCGCCGCCTCTTCCGCGGTACCCCATCATCATGAGGTCGGTGCGCGCCTCTCCCGCCGGACTCCTGCTGCTCGCCATTGCCCTCATCTGCGGTCAGTCCGCCTTCTCTCATTTCTTCTCATCAGTCTGCTGCTCTCTCATCGTTGCCTTCTCTCATCGCCGGTCAACCCGCTTCTCTCTCATTGCCTGCTCTCTCATTGCCTTCTCTCTCATTGCCTTCTCTCTCATTGCCTTCTCTCGCATTGCCTTCTCTCTCATGTCTGCAATGTCACCCATCTACAATCTCTTTCTCTCATTGCCTTCTCTTCCATTTCTGCAAAACCTTTTATATTCCTCTCGCATATCTCCGCTCTGCCGTCTCACATCTCCTGTCTGTCCTATCATATCTCCTCTCTGCTCTCTCATGTCTGCTCTCTCTCCTTTTCTCGGCACACCCTCTCCCTTGTCCTCTGCAGCAGTTCAGATGATGCAGGCAGCAAATGGGGATGACGCAGCAAAAAGCATGACTCATCGCACGGCCCACCGCAGCATGCTGAAAGACTCGTATGGAGAAAAGAAGGTTGGAGGGGAAGACACGGTGGTAGCAATAGCGAGCAGCAAGGTCAATGCAAGGATAGAGCTAGAGACCACCGGCAGCACCGCCAGCACCGGCAGCACGGACAGCACCGGGAGCACGGACAGCAGTGGCAGCACCGACAGTACCGACAGCACGGACAGCAGTGGCAGCAGCACCGGCGGCGACGGCACTCCCAGACCCACTCCCAGTACCCGCGGTGGCGGTTCCAAGCCACAGTTTGCCACTACCGTTGCTGTGGGCAAGGCTCGGCTTAGCTTCGGCACGCAACGCTGCGTGAGCGTGCTGAAAAAGGCGCGGGGGAAGAGCGCGCAGGTGTGGTGGAACGGCCGTGGGGGCTCGAGCAGCCAGGCAGCAGGTTTTGCTTGCTCGCAGATCAAGTTCTTTGGGAAGGGCGGCTGCCGGGGCACGGAGCTTGATAGCATGGTCAACCCAGGCTCTACTACTGCCAAGTGAGTGGTGTGGTGGGGGTGTTTGTTTGGTTGTATGGCCGTGTGTGAGGCACGGCGAGAATACACGAGCAGTGGATGAGTTTGGGAGGGGAAGGGAGGGGCAGGGAGGGGAGGGGAGGGGAAGGGAAGGGAGGGGCAGGGATGGGAGGGGGGGGGGAGGGCGGGGAAGCGAGGGGGCACAATAATTATGTTATTATCTCTTGTGCTTCCGCTTGCACCCCCTTTCAGGTTTCCAAGCAACAAGAAGACGCTCAGCAAGTGGGCGCCTCTTAAGCCATTTCTTGTGCTCCCTCTTGCCGCGCCACGCAACGCCCTTCAGGTCTCCAAGCAACAAGAAGAACCTTCGCAAGTGGGCTTCCATGGCCTCGATTCTCTGCACTGATGCTCCCTGTGACGCGCTGGGCTGTGAGCCTGGAGGCAAATGCATGGTGGATGAGAACGGACAGCGCTACTGCCAGTGGGGTGAGTGAGATGGCGTTGCTGCAAATGGGGTGAGTGCCTTCCTCCCCCTTGCGTCTCCCTTTGCATTTTGCGTCTCCCTTTGCATTTTGCGCCTCCCTTTGCATTTTGCGTCTCCCTTTGCATTTTGCGCCTCCCTTTGCATTTTGCGTCTCCCTTTGCATTTTGCGCCTCCCTTTGCATTTTGCGTCTCCCTTTGCATTCTGCCTTCCTCAGCCTCTCCATGTGCCGCCTGCCCCTCTGGTGCCCCAATTCTTCACTACATACCGCACTGCACCCATTTCCACCCCTCAGACTCGCCCTGTGGCGCCTGCCCCTCTGGAGCAACCTGCAAGACCGTACCTGCAACTGACGATCCTTTGGTGCAGGTGCCTTACTGCGCGTGCCCTCAAGGCTATGGGATAACCGCGACCAAGTGTGTTAAGGGTGAGATTGTTTGACGTTTTCTCGCTCTACTCTCCACTCTCTCCTTCGCATTCTCCCCACTCTCCTCTCTCAACAATACTCGCCGCACTCCCCTCTCGCCCCACTCCCTCCTCTCCCCTCTCGCCGCACCCTCTCCTCTCCCCGACACGTCCCACTCTTTCTTCCACTTTTCTCGCTCTGCCATGTTGAACAGATGCTGCTGCTTAAAGTTGATGGTAATGCATGCATGATTGTTGATGGTATATGCGCGCAAATGAGCAACGCGCTGAGTCCTTCCCTGTGCCACTCTTTCTCAGGTGGAGCTTCCAACGTCGGTCCTTACAGCTACACAGTCATCGCAAATCGAACTGCCAATGACAACTCTTCTCGACCCCTCACATTCTGCTTTAACCTGAATAGCTGCACCCAGATGCCGGAAGCATTGGCTAGGGTGGGCGCAACAATGTACGGTGTTGGGAACACCGACGATGCTCCAGGTTTCTCCAGCTGCAAAGTCTATAACGACAATTGTGAAGGCGCTAGTATTGGCGAACTTTATATTCCTGGACCCGTTCCGTTGTTTCGTGCAAGTTATGCACTGTAAGTGATTGACCGTTTTCCGCCCTCTCCTCGCACCCGCACAACTTCTCCACTTCCCTTTTTGAACCAATCACCAAATACAAACATTTTCTGTCATCTTATCTTACCCTTTCTTTGTCCTCCCATTGTTACCATTAACCAGGGACATGCCATATTCCATACCTTTCCTCTCAATCTGGTGTACTCATCAGTAGGATTACTAGGACAGCTGGATTGCTTGGCTGTGCTGTCATCTGCACATGCTTATTCTCCCCTCCACTCATTGCAAACCCTTTTCCAATTCACTCAATAAAGACCCTTCTCCCCTCATCTCAATGGAGCTCCAGTGAGAATGTTCCAGAGGAAACCTGGTGTAGAACCTCCCTTCTTGCCAGCATTTGTGCCAGTCCCATGGTTGTCTTGCTTGAAAAGTCATTTTAGAGCTGTCTGCGTGTATAATGTGTTGTGTATGAGAAGTTGATAACTGTAGCCTTTACTGTGATTGAGACCTGTTTCATTAGTGATCCTAACTCGGTTAGAGGCACAGCCTTGGCACAGCACAATCACGTACAGTACTTCACGCTGTTTTCCACAGCCTTTGCTGGGACACTGGACGCTGGACTTCCAACGTCAACAAGAATAAACTAAACACATTAGAAAGGACTGCCACTCGGTACAAGGATCACAAAACCCGCTACGGTAATCTCACTTAACTGAATATGGGTGAGTTCCCACGCCTCTTGAAAGGCATAGTGCCGTCGTAGCGGAAGCCTTGATTGTAGAATAGATAGCAAGAGAAACTTGCAACTGAAAGGATTCAGAACCATGGAATTGATTGATTATGAAACCACAGCAGGGAATTTATGCTATCAGCTACCCTGCCCATACCCATCCATCCACACCAATAATTGTGCCACCAATAATGGCAACTCCAATAAAGGAGTACCAATAATTCTACTCCCAGACCTCTGGACTCCAATAATTCCAGCCCTACAATAATTGTACAATTATTGTGGCCCTGAAGTCTAATAAGGAGGACTACAGTAAAATCTAACAGCATAAATATTTCGTTATATGTTATATTTCTCAACACTCCCCCTTGCTGTAGAATTTACCGAAGCTGGTTTTGGAGGGACTTCTGTAAACGCCGTTGATTGCGGAGTGAATTTGGGTCACGGCGTTGATTTCGGAGTCACCTTTGGTGATGGCAGCGTTGATCACGGCGAACCGAACGTAGTCGAATATTTCCGTTGGGATCGCGGCGGACAGTGGGGTTGTTTGTCGTGTTGTGATTTCCGTGCAACTGGCGATTGCTGTACTGCACGTTCCGATGCGCAGGTGGTCCCTTCGAACGACCCCCTCACACCAGACGCTGCTTCTCCTGCTTCAGTTCCACTCATCCCTCTCAACGGGGTCTCTCCCAAGTGTGTCATTTTCGCTCTCCAAACCTCGTCTCTTCAGATCGAGTGTTGCTGCTCCTTACTCCTGATCGTGAGTCGTTACTCCCTATCCGATCTGCCTTCCCAGCCGTGTCAATTCCTCCCATCGTAGCCATGGCTGCTGATGCAGCTTGTAACGTATTAGGTTTTCCATGGCGCAACTTCCATTTTTCGACCTGCGTCGTTCAGCAGCTCCTGCCCCGTCCTTAAGCGCGATGTCCTGCAGCTGTAGCTAGCGCGCGTCACTAGCTCTCGCCATGTCACGGCTGGCGCACGGTGACAGCAGCGCACGTGACGACCTGCAGCGTCGAATGCGCATTTTCTGCGGCTGCGGCCAGATCCGCGACTGCTGCTACTATCGCGTTAATGCTTCCTCTGTCGCGCGACTGCAGTAGCCTCCTCGCTTGACGACCTGCGCGCTGCAGCTCCTTGCGCGTGACTGCTGTTCATGGCGCTCTGCTACATCGATGCCTGTGACGGTCGGCAGCAGCGGTTGGCGCACGACTGCAGCAGCATGCGCGCTACTGCATTATATCGCATGTGGCGGCTTCTGCTGGTGCGCGCCCTCCCTTTGCCATTTCGGACGACATGGCGCTCCTGCAGCGCCTCGCGCATGACGCCACTGCCCCCGTCGCGCGGCTGCCTCTCCTGCTGACGTCCACGACCGCAGTGACGGCCGCACCTGTGGCGAGCTGCAGCACCTGTGGCGCACGGCAGCACCCGTGGCGCACGGCAGCACCTGTGGCGCACGGCAGCACCTGTGGCGCACGGCAGCACCTGTGGCACACGACATCTGCGTAACCGCCCACACACCGCTGTAACTCCTGGCGCTCGGTTTTCTCCTTCCTGCCGAGGTGAGAATGCTTAGTCAAACCAGACTGCTTCACCCATGTCACCTTGTTACCCTGTGATGTTACCTTTTGCTGCTCCTCTTGACCTTGTGCTGCTCCATGTTGCCCTGTGCTTCTCCATGTTACCTTGTGCTGCTCCCCCTATAATAGGTGGCGCCCGGAGGCAGCTGCAACTGGTACACAAGCTCCTGGCGGCTGCTTCTGCTCCTGGCGGCTGCTTCTGCTCCTGGCGGCCGCTTCTGCACCTGGCGGCTGCGGCTGCAAACGTCTGCCAGCGGCACCACCTGACTGGTGGTAGCAGCATCACCTGGTCGCTTGCAGCAGCTCCCCCTGACACCCTGCAGCACCTGGAGCCCTGCAGCACCGGGCCTGCAGCAGCTCTCCCTGATGCGCTGGCCGCTTGCACTGGTGCAGCTCCAGCACTGGGTTGCAGCAGTATCAGCAGCACCTGCGTCACCTTGGTGAGCAGCACCAGCAGTGCCTGTCTCCAGTTGTCTCCCCCTCCCTCTCATTGGAATCATGCTTTTGTATTTAGTAGGAGTCAGCTTCCTCTTGTGATTCCCTCTGTCTGCTTGCCTCATGCTGACTCATGCTGATATGTTTCGCCTCCCCCTGAAACCAGCAGGCATATGAAGTCTTCAGGAACGGCCGCTGCAGATGGCGAGTGGTTGTGACCAACCAGCAGCAGCGACTGTCCAGCAGAATATCTGATGGCTGCTGTTGTTACTGATTGCAGTAGGTCTTCTCATGATTATATGCTGACTCTTGTGATGACGAAAATGAAAAGATGGTTGTGAGATGAAATCCTGATTTGTTGCACCCCAAGATACTCCACACCCCACTCCCCCTCTCACTCGTGTGTTTGTAGGCATGCACATGGGTGAGCACGCACACATCACCAAACACATGAGTGAGATGTGTGGAGTTAAGTGATGCCGTGTTGTTCAGCTCCCCTTGAGAAGCCCGGACTTGAGAGTGCAGCTCTAGTAGCTTCAATGTGAGTATTGGGTGCAGACGGTGCGATATGTGGAATAGGTTGGAGACCGCACAAGAGGCTGCAGGTGAGATGTTGTTTTGCTGTGAGGGGCTTGGTGAGATAATCTTTGAGTTGTTGGGCAGTACTCCGGCCGCACAACTCCATCACGAACGGCCTTCCTCGTCCAATGGTAACGTACGTCCATGTGCTTGATGCGTTGACTCATCTGCTCCCCGGTTGCAAGCGCAATGGCGCTTTGGTTATCCACAAAGATGACGGTAGGGTCTTGCTGTCGAAAACCGAGGTCTTCACACAAGCGGCGAAGGTATGTGGCTTCCTTTGCCCCTTCAAACAGTGCAATGTATTCTGCTTCAGCTGTTGATGTCGCAATGACCGTTTGTCGTTTGGTCCTCCAACTGACAGCAGCTCCTCCTAAGGTAAACACGTAGCCTCCAACTGAGTGACGCCCTTCTTCGTTCGCATAATCCGAGTCCGTGTATCCACGGAGCACCAAGTCTCCTCCTCCATAGACCAGCCCCATGTCTGCAGTGTTCTGTAAGTAGTTGAACACCCGGTGGATTCCAAGCACTGTCGCTGCTGTTGGTTTGCTTGCTTGCCTGGCCAGCACATGCGCCGCATAGGTTATGTCCGGCCGCCCTGCTGTTGAGATGTACAGCAATGTCCCAACTTGTTTCAGCACCAATTGACCATCAATCTCGTCCGGTGGTTCTCCTTGTGGTCCAGGTTCCTTGGCGATCGGTGTCCGTACTCCGGAACGGCTGCCCTCCATCCCGAATGTCGCCAAAGCCTGTGAGATGTACTTTGTGAGTCCGAGCGCGATCGAGTCATTGTCCGCGGCGACGTTGAGCCCCAAAAACTGCATCATGGTCTCGCTGACCGCGAATGGGGAATGCGGAATGGGGAATGCGGAATGGGGAATGCGGAATGGGCTCCCCGTATTAGACGGCACAAATGCGTTTGGGGGCACGTGACGCAACTCCCACCTCTTCTTATATGCGCAAAGACGGTGTGTCCCCTTGGAGAACACGATTCGTCACTGGTACCCGCGCGCGCTATGAATATTACGAGCGCCCTTGCTGCGCGCGTTTTGCTTGCGTGCGCTGCTATCCTGAGCGCGAAATGCTGGAGCGCGCTATGCTGGATCGGGCGGAATGCTAGGGCGCGTGCGAGGCTAGAGGTGAGTGCGATACAGTTGCTGCACAGGATGCTGCTGGCGCGCGATTTTTATAGTCGTTTCGCCCTTTTGGCTAATTCTCCTTCGTGCCTAACTCACGCGCCACTTCGTGTGTGGTCTGGTCGCGCTGCTGGCGTAGCACCTTCTAGCGCGCGCCGTGGTTGTTTCTT